CATGCCCCCCAAACCGCATCATGCCAGGCCCTGCCCCCCAATCGCATCATGCCAGGCCATGCCCCCCAATCACATCATGCCAGGCCATGCCCCCCAAACCGCATTATGCCAGGCCATGCCCCCCAATCACATCATGCCAGGCCATGCCCCCCAAACCGCATTATGCCAGGCCATGTCCCCCGAACCGCATCATGCCAGGCCATGCCCCCCAATCACATCATGCCAGGCCATGCCCCCAAGTCGCATTGTGCCAGGCCATGCCCCCAAGTCGCATTGTGCTAGGCAAAACCCCAAACCGCACTGCGCCCGGCCACCCCAGGCCCCGACAGCATCCGCCCAGGTACCTCCCAGATCATTTTGCATGGGCCCATTACTGGAAGTTCAGTTGCGCAAGTCCTCGTGCTGCATTGATTCCATTTGACCGTCCAACCGAAACCGTTGGCCATTATTAACGTTGACCACTCGATCGTTTACAGAACTGCTGTATTCGCCACTTATTGATATTTTTATTATTAACCGTTATACGGCCGGTATGGCGTTTACTGTACGACACCATTCGTTCGGTCATTGCTCGTAGTTGGCGCTGCATGCAGCCAACAAGTTATCAAGCCAACAAGAATGGCGGCAACTAATGATGATGACCATGATTATAATGATGACGATGATGATGATGATGATGATGATCATGATGCCGATGGCCTTTACAGCAGTTGATAGTTGCGGCTATATGCCGCCGCCGCCGCCGCCGCCGCTAGCCAACTGGCCACCAGCGGCGGCACCCGGCTGGGTGCAGCTGGGTGTGGAAGAATTGCACCCAGCAGTGCACCTGAATACCATACCATGCTAAGGCGCCTCACGTACGTCGCAGCCTCGTTAGAGCTGAGGCCGCGCAGTCCTTCAGAGCTTCAAACACAAACTCTGCGGAGAGGAGACCCTGCACAAGTACAGATGACACGGTTAAACATGCGGATTCCAACGACTAACGGTTGCATTTAAGCGCGAACAGCAGTTAAAACCCTAAGCTTGCGGCCCAGACTTACCGTGCACGATACCGTGCTAAGGCGCCTCACGTACGTCGCAGCCTCGTTAGAGCTGAGGCCGCGCGGTCCTTCAGAGCTTCAAACACAAACTCTGCGGAGAGGAGACCCTGCACAAGTACAGATGACACGGTTAAACATGCGGATTCCAACGGCTAACGGTTGCATTTAAGCGCGAACAGCAGTTAAAACCCTAAGCTTGCGGCCCAGACTTACCGTGCACGATACCGTGCTAAGGCGCCTCACGTACGTCCCAAATCGAATTCGTCCATGCAACCTCCGAACGGCATTATGCCACGAAACCCCACAAGAGCATCCGTCCATGCAAGCCCACAAACCAAATTGTGCCAGGCCATGTCCCCCAAACCGCATCATGCCTGGCCATGTCCCCCAAACCGCATCATGCTAGGCCATGTCCCCCAAACCCGCATCATGCCAGGCCATGTCCCCCAAACCCGCATCATGCCAGGCCATGCCCCCCGAACCGCATCATGCCAGGCCATGTCCCCCGAACCGCATCATGCCAGGCCATGTCCCCCAAACCGCATCATGCCAGGCCATGTCCCCCCAACCACATCATGCCAGGCCATGTCCCCCAAACCCGCATCATGCCAGGCCATGCCCCCCAATCACATCATGCCAGGCCATGCCCCCCAGTCACATCATGCCAGGCCATGCACCCCAAATCGCGTTGTGCAAGGTCATGCCCCCCAAACCGCATCATGCCAGGCTATGCCCCCCGAACCGCATCATGCCAGGCTATGCCCCCCGAACCGCATCATGCCAGGCTATGCCCCCCAAATCGCATT